CCCCAAAACCCCAAAACCCCAAAACCCCAAAACCCCTTTTATAATATTTGTGACTGAAACTAATATGAACTCGTATTGGCTTATTCCTTATTTCGAGTAGTTAAGTTCTTCATGTAAACGAGGTCTCCCACATCAAAACATTTCCGCTGTTTCTTCTGGACTCTCCGCTGAGGACTCAACAACGCCAGGTTCTTTCTCTTCCTTGGTGACTTTAAGTGGTGGTTCCTGTATTGCCGTTCTAAGACTTTGGGAGTTCTTAGTTGAGGCTTTGACATCAGTGATGAAGCAGTTTCGCTTGCTAGAGTATTAGGAGTAATGACTTACATTTATGTGAGCCACTAAGTCATCTAGCTGATGATAGATGATCTTTAAAAGCAGGATCTCATGTGTTGATCATCCCAAAGTTATTTACTTCTAACCCTATTAACATAATCCTGGAGACTTCTCCTACTCCCCATGCCCCACTTCTCCATTACCTCCTTCTTCCCTCCCTTTCTTCTAACTGGTTCCTTCCCACAAGTGCTATTATCTCTAGTCGTGGTTGTTAAGTACTTGTTAGAAGTTTTTATTGAGATTCTTTGGTCTTTTGGAGAATTTTTGTGGTGAGAGAGGTTAAATTTGTGAAGAGTTTTGTGAGAGGTGAGGGGTTTAGGGGGGATTTGGGGTGGGAATGAGGATTGGAGAGGGAGCAGATTTGTGCAGGATTGGGGTTTGGAGGTGGGCGGTTTGGGGGAGGGGAATAAGTGGGTTAGAGGGGTGGTGGGATGGGTGGTTGGGGGTCTTGGATGAGAGCCTGGAATTGAGGAGGTAAGAGGGAGGGTTGGAAGTGAGGGAGAAGGATTTGGAAGAAATTTTTGGGGATTTGGGTTTTGGAGTTTATGGAATGGATATGTTAAATGAAATTTATTGTAAAGAGAAGTCTTACCAGTGGATCTGCTGATGTTATGTTTTGGAGTATACTTTCTTCGAGATTTTTTCAGATTATTTTTTAGAAACCAAGTGAAGTAATTATAATTTGCTTCATAATCCTCACTGTATCTATCAGAATTGGTCGAATCAGAATGTGAAGACTCACTTCTTTTTCTGTCACTTATTTCTAATATTAGTCATTAAAAATGCAAAGATAATACAAACTAAATCAGCTTAATTTTATTTCATTAAATCTAATTACACTCTTTTATTGATGGGAATAGTGATAGCTAAACTTATAATTCTCACTTCAAACACTTATTTATAAGACTACACTTAGTTCTCCAGACTTTCCTATTGCAGATATTCCAGACTGGCTCGCCGAACTAATTTCACGTAAGAAGAATTGTAAAATGGATTAAACAGAAACTCGATGTACAAGGAGCTTGTGATAAACACCTCAGTTGGAAACCTAGGGACCGAGGACATCGTGCTATTAGTGATATAGCTTACCTTTAAGAACAAGTACTACTTTTGTTATAATTCTATCATCAAGGGTAAATTCTTCATCAATCTCTTTCCTCTCACCCTCCTCATGTGAAGACTCAGGGATACTCATCAGACTACTTGAGCTTCTTCCCAGATAGCTATCTTGAGTCTTGATATCAGCTTTCTTATTGTCCTTATTAAAAATACCATTTCTTCTTGAGTTGCTAACTTTGTTCCTATCTATTGCCTGCACCATTCTCCAGATCTGGCTTTTATAAACATTCCATTCTGGCTTGAGACTCATCATTGTTTGGAAAGCTTCTTCGTACTCTTTGTACCTGGCCTTGTTCAGGCTCCTGAGAGATTTCCTGAAGTCCCTCTTTTCGTTGCATATGAAGTCTGATATTTTCTTCCAGCTTACTGACTGGCTCTTGGAAGCGGGTCAGGATACCTGGTTTACAGTTTTGGAAATTTGTCTCGGATTCTGATGATTATAATAATTTCGACTGTTTTCACCGTTTTCAGGTTGTCTAGTGAAGTCGAGATAGTCGAAGCTCATGGATCTCTGGATGTTGCTGTTTTTGTTATAAGGGTATAGAAGCCTCTGGAGCTTCTCTTGGATCTGTTTACTAGGCAAGAGTTCATGGTTTTTAAACATTGCTTCTATTTTACCAAACTCTGTTTTTTCTTCTTTTGGCTGTTGAGAAATCTTTTTGAAATGCTCTTCAATTATTGACCTAGAAATTAATTGCTGCTTAAATAAAGCCTTACTCATCAACCTTAGAAATATCAAACTTAATCTTCTGCTTCTTAACAAGTTGAGTGGACTTCTTCTTCCTACATCTTCTGGTTCTCAAATAAATCGGATGAGGAGTCTCAGATACTCTATTTCTCTCCTTTTCAAAAGTACTCAATACTGCACTTCTTCAGTCCACTTGGCCTACATTCCCTCTCACTGTGTTCATTTTAATCTATAGGTAATGAAGAGGTGTCGGAAGAGTGGGATATTTGATGTTAATTGTAATTTTAGATGAGGTTTTTATGGTTTTATGGTTCTGATAGTTGGGTGAAAGATTTTAGGAAATTTGTGGGATGGAATAGGGGAGTGTATAGGGGGAAGAGGAGTGTTAAAATTTTAGATTAGGTAAATTATGAGACTGGTTAATACAGTGTCAGTATTTTTTACATCAAGATTTTATAAAGATTAATTTTTTATGCCTAGAAATCTATAGCTTTGTTTTTGAGGAATAAATTTATAGGAGTGGTCAAGGCTCATATGTCAATAACCTTCATTTAATAGATTACGAGAAGAAAGCTTTACTAACATATAATTCATTGTTTTAGCTCTTTTACTTACCATTTCTACTGTAATTTAATTAACTAGTTATGATAATTGGGGTTTTGGGGTTTTGGGGTTTTGGGGTTTTGGGG